ATTAACTTTATGTTAAATTTTCACCTTGGTGTTTCTCAGACTGCTGCGAAGTAGTAGAAGTACACCCAACTCAAGTGTGGAAAGGCCTGAGGTTATGAATTCCCAGGGGAGGCCTCTTCTTCCCCCACCCACAACACTGCTCAATAGAAGGAGACCTATAAGTTTCTTTGTCTTGTCTCTGTGCTGGCAGGTGGTTGTCTTCTATACCATACCTTCACCAAGGGTATAACACTTTGAGAGGCCTAGATTAATGAGAGAGTCTCATTTCCAATTCTGCACTTTGCACATGCCCAAAGTTTTACTCCCTGCACCTCACAACAATTAAAACCCACACACAGGGCAGGGGTAGCAGTAGTTAACGGCAGCAACAGTAGCTCCTGGGCTGCTTTGGTTTTCAGTTGCTTTTCAGTTCCCAGGAAATAGAAGTCTCTTCTATTTAATTTCAGATCTCAACTCAAGTAATAGTTTCATAGGAGAGTAAGTTAACATCCCTTGTTGTTCTTGTTAGGGGCCATCGAGTCAGTTCTAACTTGTAGCCACCCTATGTACATCAGAATGAAACACTACCTGGTCCTGTGCCATCTTCACAATGGTTGCTATATTTGAGCCCACTGCTGCAGCCACTGTGTCAATTCATCTCGTTGAGGGTTTCCTCTTATTTGCTGACCTTCTGCTTTACCAAGCATGATGTCCTTCTTCAAGGGCTGGTCCCTTCTGATAACATGTCCAAAGTATGCGAGACAAAGTCTCGTCATCCTTGCTTCCAAGAAGCATTCCGGCTGTACTTCTTCCAAGATAGATTTGTTTGTTCTTCTGGCAGTCCTGGTAAATTCAATATTCTTTGCCAACACCATAATTTAAAGGCATCAATTCTTTGGTCTTCCTTCTTCATTGTCCAGCTTTAGCACGCATATGAGACAACTGAAAATATCATGGGTTGGATCAGGTGCATCTTAGTCCTCAAGGTGACGTCTATGCTTTTCAATACTTTAAAGAGGGCTTTTGCAGCAGATTTGCCCGATGAAGTAACATCTTTTACTCGCCAGAAAAAATCAAGCATCTGCTATACACTCTCATAACCTGTCGCTGTTGAGTTGATTCCAACTCATAGCGACCCTATAGGACAGAGCAGAACTGCCCCATAGAGTTTCCAAGGAGTGCCTGGTGAATCTGAACTGCTGACCTTTTGGTTAGCAGCCATAGCTCTTAACCACTATGCCACTAGGGGTCCTAAACACTCTCAGAGCTCCCTGCATTTTTCTTCCACTATACATATCATAATTTGTAGTTATATATATATTTTTTTATATTTTATTGTTGTACTTTAAGTGAAAGTTTACAATTCAAGTTAGTCTCTCAT